ACTTCGCTGCAGGAGATATATTGCAAACCCTGAACCCTAAACCCTAAATGGGGTCGATGGGCCTTCTTCATGTTGAAAGGACGTCTGAACTGTAGCCACGGTAGGCCTTCGGCTGGTGAGTCCTGCAGCATGACATGGCTCAATCCAGGGGTTCAGGGTTTAGGGTCTAGGGTTTAAGGACAAACATGCAGTTTCAAGGGATGCTCAAGCAATCCCCTCCCCGACTCGTAAACCCTGAACCCTACACCCTAAGCCCTCAACCCTACTAGTACCATCTCATAGCATAATATTTATCACTATGGGAGGGTAGCATTCTGGAATCAACGTTTGACCAAAAGCCAACGCTATTCAGTGCTCTGGCACTGTAGCTGTCACCTCCCTAATTCCCTCCCCCTACATGGGAGTTTCTCAAAAAGGGGGTACCCTAGGGACCCCAGGGGATATAGAGGGATTATATAGGGATTATGGGGGTCCTTAGTAGGGATTATATAGGGATTATTTTGAGAAACTACTACATTAAGATTCCCCGAGCCCCCCTAATGGTCAATACTCTCCTCGTTGTATATTATAGTATACTGTATTGGGTATCTTTGATGGGAAGGGGGGTTTAAGTTAGGGGAGCGGATTGGTAGCATGCCGCCCTCAAATCGTTTTTTCCCCTTGGCCCTTGTTGAATCCCAACCGTAGCCCCAGAGTTCAGGGTTTAGGGTTTAGGGAGTAGGTTACAATTACAATGGACATTGATCTAAATTGCCATGGTAGAGGGGAAGCAACTATCCTTCACAACAATGCCATATTCTGGTAACTTAGTCTTATTTCTTTAGCAGTAACCCAGACACTTCCGATCTGAGAACAACTTCAGACACCTTCCTTAATGCCCACTAGACCCTAAACCGTAAAACGTAAACCCTAAATCCTGAACCCTAACCCCTCAATCCTAAACCCAGGCAGTAAACCCTACACCATACATCCTAAACCCTCACCATCCCTCAACCCTAAACCCTGAACCCCAAGAGCAACGAGATCATGACATGGGCCTCCGAGGCAAGAGCCGCCACCAGCTCACCAGCTTGGCTGCACCACTTGCTGCCACCTCATTGAGGGCTTAGGGTTTCGGGTTCAGGCTGCCCCGAACAAAAGCTTTGGGGCTAGGTGGGCGGATTATGAAACTAGCTCAAGTCCGCTGATCTGGCTGCCCAGTCTCCACTCAGAATCATTGACCCTTTATGGCTATGGTTTTTCGGGCTTTATGGACTACCAGAGGCCATACGTAGTTCTGGAGACCACCCTCGGGTAGATTCCAGGACCCCCAAAAAGGACAGAGCCCCAAGCACCATCACGTAAAAAGGAGCCCTTAGGTTTCTTCAGAGGGTCTGTCCTATCTAGGGGCGTTTTGGGATCATCTGATCAACTCTAAGCCCCGAACTCCCGACCCTGAAGCCTAAAACCCTGAACCCTGCATCCTTGACCTTGTCTATTGCATACCCTAAACCCTAAACCCGAAACCCTAAACCTCAAACACAGAACTCTACATGTCCCTATATGTTCCTGCAACCCTTTTTGAAAGGGACCCCGCAGAGTATACCTCCTCCCGGTCACCCGACGCCGCTAGCAGGAACATCCCAAACCCTAGCCCCTATCACGTCTAACCCCGATGTATATCCTATTATAATGTAGTAGTTTTCATTTCTTTTCCATTATCCCTAAACAAGCCCCAACATAACCCCAGTATATACCCTATTATAATGTAGTAGTTTCCATATCCCTATACAACCCCAACATACCCCCCTGTGCAGCGCTGGCCGGGTGGCAACGGCTTGGCGCACCAAGCCAGGCTTGCACCTCGATGTTGACACAGCTTTCAGGGTTTAGGGCTTTGGGCTTTGGGATTTAGGGCTCAGGGTTTAGGCTTCAGGGTGTAGGGTTGAGGGTCCAAGGGTTAAGATTAAGGTACAAGGCTAAGGAATTCGGGATTCAGGGTGCAGGGTTACAGGTTCAGGGGTTCAGGTGTTAGGGCTTGGGGGTCAGGTCTTGGGGCCTAGGGATCAAGGTTTGACCCTCCACAAAACGGTTGCCATACAAAGCGTGGATAAGGTTGAAGGCTGGCATGTTGGGATTTAGGGTTGAAGATCTTTAGGGTTCAGGGCTTCGGATTTTAGGGCTTGGGGTCGCAGGCTTGGGGTATTTTGGGTATAATGTTAGGGTTATATTGGGGTTATATTGGGATAATGGAAAATAAAATGGAAACTACTATTCAGGGTTTAGGGTTTAGGGTTTGGGGGGGAAAGGATATTTGCAAGGAGCGACAGCACGGGATTAGCTCAAGGCAGCTCTGAGCCCCACTGCCGATGAATATGAACAAGTGTTAGGGGTTAGGGTTTAAAGTTTAGGGTTTAGGGTTTAGGGTTTAGGGGCCCAGGCCCTACTACAGAATCGTTCCAAGGAGGATGCATACTTCATCCACGTCAGGAAAACATGAACATATGAAGACATGAAGGCATGAACCCCAACTTTTAACAAGCCCCTAATCCTACTAAGCCTTACATAAGGTCACGAATCCCAATATAATTTAGTGGCTTGCCGAGAGAACTGTTCCCAAAAAGGCGGGAAGCTAATTCACGGCCAGCTTGCAATACCAGCCCATATATGAGCACCCGTACTAACTGAATCATAGAAACCCCGATGCACCACCTAAAACAATGTCGATAATCCTAAACCCCAATCCCTAAACGCTAAACCCTAAACCCTTGCAGGCTACACCCTGCCTTGCAGGGCTCTGCTGGCTCTCAACCACCGGCATGTGCAGGATTGGCTCGTCCATCTCTTCCCACGCTTCCTGGCCGTCTACGGCTTAGGGCTTAGGGTTTAGGACTAAGGGTTTAGGGTTATATGGCTTAGGGTTAAAGGTTATCTGGCTTAGGGTCAAGGGTTTAGGGTTGAAATTTGAAGGATTTCTTTGAGGCTCTTTCGAACCAATGCTGGAAAATGTAGGAAGCTTATACGGCTTGTAGAAGCTACAGTAAGTAGGAAAGCTGCGTTTGTATCGGAAAAATGGATCTCCATGTTGCGCAAAGCAGTCCAACAACGAGGAGGCTCCGCTCTGGCATATGCACCCGTTCCTACAAATCTTATTTGGCTACATGGGAGCTACAGGGTACTGCAAAGAAATTGCAAGGATTAAAGGAACTTTCTCGAAGTCATGAACTCTTTTTCTTGTGGTGTTGCTGTCCTTATATTGTGGATGACGGAGCTGAAATGTCTCGCAAGATGCTGATACTAAGAAACTGCGTTGCTGCTACAGAATCTGACTAAAGTTATTCTGAAACAGCTACATATATTGATCAAAATAGTTGCCCCAGAATGAAAAGTGTTAAGAAAACTTAACATTATAAGTATCTCGAGATCAACCCAGCACAAACAGACCAAACTCTTGTCCTCATCCTCGGGCATCACTGGGAAGAAGCTCATCGGGTCGGCCTCCTCTTCGCAATGAAATTCAACCCAAGTGATTTTGAACCCAGTAAGATTATATTTCTTATATAAAATACTATACCCCAAAAAGAGGATATAATCTTACTCTATGATGGGTACCATAGTATCCTCAAAATAAAATACTACTCAAGTCATTCTACGAAGAAGGCCACACTGCACCTCGCGCAGCCTGCGATATAAGTCTATGGTTTAGAATGGCGTGTAGAGAGGCAGAAGTCAGTACACTACCTACGCGCAACGCGTGTCCTCCAGCTCCCACTGCTGCAGCGGGTCATCTACATCCTGAACTGTTGGACAACACTGCTTGAGGCAATGCGGCGTAGGCAGCAGCAACACATCAAGCAATGCCAGTACAGCAAGAAGACCAGTAGCAATAATAGAACTTGTCATAGCGATGGCAATGGCCATGCCGTAATGACAACTGCCACACCACCCCCACCACAGCCTACCACCACCACCACCACCACCACCACCACCACCACGACCGCCACCACCACCACCACCACGACCGCAAGCACCAGCACCAAGATGACAGACGGCCACATCAAACAACAACCGATACTTGCCATGTCAGAAAGGCTGCAACCACAGCCGATCCACGGTCTCATCCTATCGGCGCATACTAAGTCACAGGGTCATTTGAACAAAAAGTTCGTCCCCCTGCCTGGATCTTTTTACTGCGGATTGGTAGAGGATCTGGGAAAATGTTATATTAGGGTTTTAGGGTTGAGGGTTAGCAGAGGATCTGGGAGAATATTATAATAGGTTTATGTAAGGATTATATTCCCCTCCCTACTAACCACCTCGATCTTGTTGTGCAGGTTCTGCTTCAACTCCAGATCACGCACCAGCTCGTGCATCTCTGTGGCATTCTTCAGCACCTGCTGCAGAATGGGTCTGATCAAATGCCATCTGCCAAAAGACTGCTAGGTTGCTGCTTTGCGGTCCTTAAACTAAGTGACCATGTTGTGGGCGAAACGTAAATGATAAAGCTTCCTTATTGTAGTAACTTAATATAAGCTCCTTGATAGGAACCCAGTTTTTTGAAGCCATGGGGCACTTACCACACGACCTGTGTAATCAACCCCAGCCAAGGGCCCTACCCTAAACCCTAAACCCTAAACCCTAAACCCAACCCAACCAACCCCTAGCTGAGGGTCACCAAAGAAATCAGATGTGTGGCAACGGCAGTCGGAGCTGTGGCTGACGTATCAAGTGGACCTTCTCCTAAGGGTCTAGCGTTTAGGGGTTTAGGGGTTAGGGTTTACGGTTCAGGGTCTTTATGGTCGAATAGAATGTTGAAAATGGAAGATTGGGTACGCGATGGGCAATATCATACCGACGAGTCTGAGACATGGGTCAGCAACTATCACTCACCGTGCACACAAGTAGCGGGCTCCCGCGCCAACCTGTTCAAATCAAGGACCGTTTCTACTCCTAGCTAGAGATTTGTCAAAAAACTTCCCCCATGGAATACCGAAAAGACCCCAGAAGCTTCCTTGAATCCCGACACATCCCCATTGTCCCTAAGGCACCCAGCTATCAAGGGCTAGGAAAGCATGGACGGTCACAGGAACCACGCTTCGGGACTCTGTCGTAATAGCGCAGAACAGTCAAACCATCTTACGTGACATTCAAGTCTGCAAAAACATTTTGGGAAACTGAGGGCATAACCCTTAAGCCAGAACCTTATGGGACAACATACCAGTTATCTGAGGTTGGAACAAGAAACCTCTAGTATAAGCCCTCATGCTTGAAGTCGTTATTTACCTAACGTGTGCAGAATACAATCCTACACACCCAAGAAACAGAGCCCCTACCTAAGATCCAGGAACCCTTAAACCCTAAACCCTAAACCCTAAGATCCTAAACCCTAAACCCTTAAACCCTAAACCCTAAACCCTAAGATCCAGAAAAGAGGGATAAACCCTCAACCACCCAGGCCTCCGGCCATCCAGGCCTTAGGTAAGAGCTAAAGTCTTACTAGGGGTTTAGGATTTGGGAGATATCTACATCCTGAACCCTAAACCCCTTAACCCTTAAACCCCTAAACCCCTATACTCCCCCTTAAGTAGATAGAATATGGGGTATATGGGGATCTTACTTATAACATACCCGAGGACATATTCTATCTACTTAAGGGGAACCCTAAACCCTAAATAGTAGTTTCCATTTTCTTTTCCATTATCCCTATATAACCCTAATAATATACCCTAATATTCCCTTAACCCTTAAACCCCTATGTAGTTGTTGTGATAAATTTGCCAACCTGCAGTTTCAAGCAGTGGAGGGTTTTAGGGCCTCTGTGCTCGAGAAGTCTGACTTTTGGGACTTCGGTGGCTCCAGAAGACTTACTGGTTTTCAGTAGGGAAGAGAGGAATACAACCCCTGTATAATCCCGTCCTAACCTAAACCCCAAACCCTAAATCAGGGCGATTGCAAGGCTCAAACTTTTCGCTCCAAGGCTTGCCGCTCTGTCCAGGAAGTAGATTAGAGTATACTAGAGTATGTAAATAGAACAGTATATGATTATAAAATATTATAGTACATAAATGTAGTCTATGAAAATGTATCATAATATATAAAAGGTATAGTATATCATTGTAGACTATGTATCAAGAGTTGAGTGTTCGCACAGCGCGTAAGAACACAACAGAACTGGGTCGGCCGAGCCTCTGAAATGTCACAGCGCCAATACCCATCAGTCTTACCTCTTTTGCTGTTTAACGCTAAATCCTAAACCGCATGTCTGAAGGCAAATTTTGGAATAACCTACCCTAGCTCTCAATCTACGTCTTTCTTCCTGGTTGTTAGTAGGGGATCAGGGCATGTAATCCTTATACAATCCCAGTATAATATCTTCTCACATTCCCTAGTAACCCCTAGTAATAAGCCCTTCTACGGCTATGAACTGCCAAGCTTGCCAAGTGGCTCCACTTCGACGTCAGCTGCGTCTGCTGCCAGATTTGGCGAGGACATCTGCCTCTGAAGTTTGCTTCATTTTTTTTTGGGGGGGGGTACCTAGGGTTTAGGGTTTTTGGATACCCTGAATAAAGGGCCGCAAGATTATACGGACCTAATGAACTTCACAACTACAAGGGTAGCCCGCACCAGACCGCCGACAACTGCAAGGCTTCAACATCACGTAGCTGGTGCTGCGGCCAGAAACCTCCACTCGGTAGATTCCCCAAAATGCCCAACAGAAGTGACAATTCTTAGGTATCCATATTTTCCTGTATATCTCTAAGCTTCCTATTTCTCCCTAGGTCCCTATGTCCCTAGGATTCCTAAGGGAACCCTCCTTTGACAAATCCGAACACAAAGCCAAGCCGAGGCGCTCGTCCCCCGAACTTGGCATATCCAAGGCCTGGGGTTCATTCAGCCTTTTGGGATATATTGGGGTTTGGGGTTTAGGGTTTAGGGTTGGGTATATTATTGCGGATTATGTAGGGATAATGGAAAAGAAAATGGAAACTACTACATTATAATAGGGTATATATTGGGGATATTATTGGGGATTATATAGGGATAATGGAAATAAGATGGAAACTACTGTTCTGGGGATATAAACCCTAAACCCTGAACAAACCCTAAACCCT